TATATATAAAAGCTAAATACCTTCTTCCAGGCAACTGAAAGACTATCACAAAAAAAAATAAAATAAAATAAAAAGAGGCCCCTTATTCACCAAGAAAGTGATTCTTTTTTGTCTGCCATTTTAAGGTCTCACCTCTGGGCTGCTGGGCTGCTTCAGAAAATATCTTTTCCTATGCCTGGTTCTTCATAGTCGGTGGCAGCTGATGGTCAAGTCTGTCCTCCCATCTTGACCTGTGGTTTGGGCTGACCCTCTCTCCCTCAGAGAGAGGAACAGTCCCTCTTCAGTCCTGTGTTATGGCATTGAGGGCCTGGGTCTGGGGGTGGTTTCTTCCGACACTTGTGGCTGACATGTCCCAGTTGCTGGCAATGGAAGCAGGCTGGCAGCCCATGACCATGTTGAGGGGTCCCAAGTGCCCAAGGGCCTCAGGTGAGTCTGAGGTGGCAGGGTACTGGCAATGGCAACTGCCATATACTGGGCCCTTCTCTTGTCCTTCTCCCTTTTCTTTCTCTCAGGCTCACTGGTCTCCTTCTTGTCAATGTGGCCTTCAAGGCCGTGTCTAATCTTAGATAAACTGCTAGAATGACTTGTTCTTTATAGTTTATAGGAAGTCATTGAAGCACATTTAAAAAAATTTTTTTAAGGATCCCTCTCTCAGACAGTTAACTCCCTCTCTCAGAACTTTTTTTTTTTTTTAAGATTTATTTATTTATGTATACAGAACTGGGTACAGGCCAGAGATTCAGGGGTGGTGAGTGGATTCACCAGAGACAAAGTGGGGAGCAGAACAGGCTGACTGATGAAGTACACTGCTGAGGGGAGCAGTGTGCGTTTCATGAGAGGTCTGCCATGCCATGTGGATCACCTCCCTGGCAGAGATCGAACTCATCCTGAAGTGGCTTTTGCTTCCTTGTCCTGTGCTTTAATTCACTGCACCACCAGGGAGGACCCTCTCTCATAACTTTAACACTTGCTTTAATACTTTTTTCTTTTTATTTTGCTTTTAGGATTTTTAAATTATCCATTCTTAACATATTTCTTTCTTTTTAAACATACTCACTTTACTTTTATATCCTCTGTTTTTCATAAGACATTGAATGTTTGAGTTGTAGCCTTAATTTATTTTTAGGAATGGAATTCCAATTGCAGGTTGTTAATGAAACAATTCCACACACCAGTTTTGTTTTTTTTTTCTAGGCAGGCAAATATTCAAACAAGCATTAGGCAGATTGATAAAAGCAAGAAAAATCAGAGAGCCATCTTAATAACATGTGCATTTTCTATATGTGTGTGTGACTCAGTATATCTGAGTAACTTTCCTATTGGCTTTAGGTGACATCTTGAATTTTGTTTTTTAGGACGGGGGGGAGAAAAATAGACATTTACTAGATTGACTGAAATACACTGCTGAAGGGAGCATTGGGCGGGTCAGGAGAAGTCTGCTGTGCCACGTGGGTCAGCTCCCTCACCCAGGATCGAACTGTTGCTACAGTGACTGCAGACAGTTTCATAATGCTGAGCTTTAACCCACTGCACCACCAGGGAGGGCCCAAAAGTTATTTTTAAAGAGATAAGCGGATTATTTATGTTACTGGAAAAGAACTTGATTACAAAGCAAATTTAACTCTGTTGACATAGTCCAGGTAAATTATTCTTTTTTTGAATACCACATTTCAAGTGTAGACACATTTAAGCAGAGTAAAAATTTTTTTTTAAAGATTTATTTATTTGTGTATACAGAGCTGGGGTACAGGCCAGGGGCTCAGGGGTGGTGAGAGGCTTCACCAGAGACAGAGTGAGGAGCAGAACAGGCAGTCCAAAGAA